TTCGCTGACTCACCCTGCATATGTTTGTATGATATTTTCATCTTAGAATTGGATTTTCTGTCGACCGTTGAAATTCTGCTACTATAAACTAACTCACCCTGTATAGAGCAGAAAAAATTACATATTTACAAAAAACGAAATCAGAAAATTTGCAATAGTGCTTTTAATCGCTCCTGAAAATGATGTTTATTTTATTCACATTACGTGTTAATACTCCAAATCCTGAAATCTAAAATTTAACCTGAGCATTAATGCTTATTCTTATTAGGTACATGAGTTTAACTCGTAATTGCTCAAAATATCACAGCACCCCTGTTCATCAGAAAAACTGAAAATCCGTTTTTCATTGTTCACAAAAATGTTTTAGTCTTATATTGCAGCTTGACTGTAATGGAAGATTTTCTGGTGAAAACGTTTATAAAACAGTAGCAAATTATTTAAACTATAATTTGATGCTTGATACAACAACATTCTTTTAGAAATTAAAAAGTGACTTAGAAAGAAAGAATCACTTACTATAATCGAATAGCGGAACCCTGGAATTATCAGACTATGAATCCTGTAATTATGTTTTTTGATACCAACAAATAAGTTAATGTAAAACAGAAGATTTAATGCTTCCTTGTCAGATAGACATTCTTCAGACTCTTCAAATATGCACACAGTAAAGAACTAAATTAGTACAAAATTACACCTGTCTCTGTTAACATGCTCTGGCCACTGTTATAGTGGAAATGCACTAAATCATTGAGTGCCCTTAGTTATGATTGCGTTCCTCAGTCTTGCCAAATATTGTTTTTTTAAAACGTCTTTTATAATCTTTATAACTTTGAACATTTTGGCTGTTTTATCTTGTGTTACCGTTAAATAGATATGTCTGTTTGTCCTTTCTCTTTTATGTTCAGTTTGACTGTGATTTATTAGAAATGCAATATTTCAAAACCCAAAACATTTTTTGTTTTAAATGGCTACAGACTAATGCAGATAGCGCCCTCTAGCATCTACAAGCTACGTGATAGAAATTTTGAAATTGTCGATCTAAAAACCTCCCAAATTTGTATGGTCAAAGTAAAACGGGTTAAGGATCTATTAAAAATAAACGAAACTTTTATTTACACTTAGACACCCTGTATCTCGAAAACTAGTAACTTTAAGATAAGACAAATTGGCGTAAAACGCAATATTGGACATCGTTTTGGAAGCTGTTTCTCCATCTAATATTTAAAACGTTAATCAAGAATTTATCAGATTTTTAAGTGCTCTTGAAGTTTAACACATCTAAAAAACCATTAAAATATTTGAACTTTCAGTAAAACCTTTTCAATCAGCGCTTTGAAATCTTCTTGTTTCTAATTAGACGTACCTACTAAAATAGAACAACAATTCACCTGGAATGCGAAAATAAGTACGCTACCATCTTCCAAAAACCGTTATTCAAAGTCCCCAAAAAGCAAAATCGAAAGCTACTCCATAAAATTCGCAAATCTGCAAACGCGAGTAGCATAAATGCTTTCAAAGATAAATTCAGTAATTTAAGCTTGATATTTTGTGTAATAGTGGTATTTGTGTAATGTGGTAATTTGCTACATGAGAGACTCACATTTAATATATCAATGCTTCTTTGCTCGCTACGGTATATCTAAATTGATTTCGACACCTGCTCACGTCTTTTGGTAGATTTTCTTAAAAGCTTGACATGTAGCTAAACCAATGCCTAAATGGCAGATCCACATTCGGTCCAGGTCATGATTTGGAAATTGTTGCTCGCACCAATCACATGGCCTGAATAGTCAACTTAATTTTGATATTTATTTATTTATTCGTATGGCATACATACAGTATAAACACAAAAGTAAAAGTATACAGCAGATAATATATAAATATATACAGAGTTCAAGTATACCAAGACAAGCCAAATTAATTTAAATATTAATATCTAAGTTTGTAATCCAAGTTAGTGCTGAAACATCAGCCATCATGAGATCGTTCCATCTCCCTTGAAAAGACCTTATGGTCGCTCACACCTCGGAGACTCCACAGCACCCCATCTGAAGAGTGAGTCTGCGCACCGTCCATGACCTGTGCTCTGTTTAGTTTGACCCATAGTATCCTATCTAGCTCTGTTCCTGCAGTGTCAAAGTTGTAACTTTAAAATCATTCTCGTTGCTCGGGGTTTACAACAGCTCGGTAGTGTTTGGCCCATAAGTTTTTATATCCACTTATTAGCATCTAGTTGTTCAGCTTGCCAAATCAGTGAGTTTCTGGAGCGAAGTCTATTTTGTCGTCGAGTACGTATATCTTCATATACAGGTAATTCTAGGTTATCCTGTATCTTACGGTGCTCTCTGAGCAGGGCCTGGGTTCTACGAATTGCAGAAGAGCAGGTGTTGCTCAGTAAGGGAAGCCAATAGGTGGGTGTTGGTCGGATTGCTCTAGTTATTAATCGCATTGTATGATTCAACTGGACGTCGATCAAATTTATGTGGGAGCTGTCTAGCCATACTGGAGCACAATACTCGGCTGTTGAGAAAATCAGTGCAATAGACGACGTGCGCAGGGTGTCCGCTGAAGCTCCCCATGTTGTACCACAGAGCTTTTGGATGATATTATTGGGCGTTTTTATTTTAGCAGCGGTATTCTTAAGGTATTTCCTATAAGAAAGAGTACGGTGGAAGGTGACTCCAAGGTATTTCGGATGCTTATTGTGCCGAAGAGTGTTTCCATTAAATTGCACGTTGAGCTCCCTTGTTTGTTGCGCGTTGCCTGTTTGTTGTTCAGATGAAATGTGCAGACCTCAGTGTTGCTTTCACTGGGTTTAAGTGGCTACTTTTTAAAATAAGTGCACAGGAAGCCTAGATCCTCTGCACAGCGAGGCTCTCCTAGAGAGAGTTCTCTCCGTCAGGCCAAGATCTTTGGCTCTGTAGGCGAGGGCGATATCATCAGCGTAGCAAAATTTTTTCTACTTGGTTTCGGGGAGGTCGGAGATATACAAATTGAATAATAAAGGAGCCAGGACCGAGCCCTGCGGTAGGCCGTTATGAAATTTTCTCTTCCTGCTTATAATACTTCCTAGGTAAGTGCGGAAGTACCTGTTTCTTATCATGTTATTGAAGAGGTTTTTGTTTTTCGGCAGCGAATTGTTTTTAGAAGAAATTTGTAAATCATCCTCTCTCCAGACTGTATCGTAAGCAGGATGGGTCCACAAATACAGCAGATTTTTAAGTTTTTCTTGGAAACCGGCTCTATGATAGTTTTTAAAGCTAGCACCTGGTCACAGCAGCTTCTATTGGGCCGGAAACTCGCTTGTTCGACTGAGACTTGTTCCAAAACGGGAGGCGCTTTTTCTATTATATAGAAGTCTGACCAGCAGCTTGTATGTGCAGGTGAGCAAGAAAAGTGGCCCGAAACTTTGTGGGAAATCAACTAGTTTACCAGGTTTTAGATTGGCTACTATTTTTGTTCTTTTAAGCTCGCTGGGCACTGATCCTTTGTCCAACATGTTGGAGAAGAAGCGGGCTAGCCATTTCTTTGCTGTGTTAGACAGGCCTATCAGGAACTCCGGGTGTAGATTATCCAAACCATGTGCTTTGCCAGGATTAGTCAGTTTCAGGGTTTCATCCAGTTTGAGCAGTGTAAAAGGTGCGGAGAAATTTGGGTCATTTGGACATCGAGCTCTTAGAGATGCAAGTTCTCGTTTTATTTTGGTGGTGCGTTGTTTATCACGGGCTGTTCTGGAAGGTTCCACTATACGATTAGAGTTTTGTTTGCTGAACTATTAGGCGTCCAGCCAGACCTGCTGGAGGCCGCCAAGCCCACGTAGCATGCCCCATGCCTTTCTGCTTGAATGTTTAAAGTTTATGTTATTCGCAGTGCTCATTCCATCCTGGTACATATTCCCTTCTGTATCCGCGGGGAACGTGTTTTTTAGCAGCATCTAGAACTGCGCCCACAAACCGGTGGTAACACTTAGGCTGATGGGATAAAACAAATATATTTATCCAGGTTGTCGGTAAAACCCTGCCCGTCAGCCCTGCGGAAGTTCCACCTGGGTCGACGGACAGACCTCACTATGGGGACGGAAAGTCCTATGTCCCGTTTAACAGGTCCGTGTTGGCTGTGTGGAAAATTAAGTAGGACTTCTCTGGACACAGGTATTGATTGGGTGGTCCCTGTCGTCACGGGATACAAAGCAGAGATCCAGATTGTAATCTCTCTGCTAAGCGGCCGATCTCAAGCCGAATCCCTGGCGTCGAAAACAAATTATAAATTATTATTCTCAGCCCATTCGCTGAGATCAATACCACATTCATCATCATCATTAGAACTACGTCAATGTCATTATCCAGGTGGAGTTTGGATAGACAACTCACTCTTGGCTCGACTGATAGCTGCTTTATTTAAATGGCACACTCGGACTGAAGGTCCAAGTCTTTTAGTCAGTTGGCCCTGAGAAGGTCGATTTTTAGAAATTTCAATCTAATTTGTCTGCATGTAAATAGCCAGGATATCCAATAATTTGGTCTGGCTGCCGAGTCGCTATAGCTCATTTAGCGTTACCCAAGGTGCACGTATACTGTTCTAGTACGGACGCGAGCTAGTTTTGCACCCCTAAATTTTGATTTGAGCCCGCAGATCAGTTTCTCGAATATTCATGAAATTCTGAGCCTCTACCGATTGATATATTGTCAAGAAGTTGGCTAAATGAATAGCCACATTTCACCCAAGTATTATTTATCTAGGATTCTATATAGAATATATCATATTCAATTCTCAAGTCTCGATATCTTTCTCCGTTTTTGAGATATTTCACATTGACGTCTCTGGTGATTTTTGAAGCGGGTAACTCAAATTGGATCTCTCGATAAAAAAATTATTATGCTCAAATTTTTAATAAAGCAAAACTTTACAAACATTAAACAGTAGTAATAAACACACAAGCATTAAACATTTTAAAGTACTTTTTAACGTCAGCAAAGACATGAGACAGACTTTTGTTTTAGTGCCTCCAAGTTTGCAAATTACTCCTCCCAGTGGACAGGTTGTAACAAGGAAAGGAGGGCCTGTTTCGTTTGAGTGTAGGGCTAATGGAAACCCCAATCCAACCGTCCAGTGGTCGAAACGAGTAAGTGCATTTTATCGTTGCTATCTTTTTGAAGAATAACGAAATCTACTACTTTGATGTCTATCACTTTAGTGTGTATGGATGTGCGGACTTTATAATAGTAATATGTTACCTGTCACCGACTGTGGATCGTATATTCTAAAGATTTCCGCTCCAGTAGATTATGTTTTACATTACGCAGGCAATGCTTAACATGTAAAACGAACACCAAAATATAAAAGGAAAAACAATTTGTACACCAAATTACTTTCAATTTAAATAATAATTAACCTAATAGGTAAATCTGCTGTAGAGAGCAATGGATCCGAAATTCCCTAGGACGGAAAGCGATTTATAATTTTAGAGCAGAGCTTAATTCAAATTCAAAATTATTGCAATTTTTAAATACTTCAAAAATATCTATAAACGATAGTTAATAAGCAATGAATAAAATGGTGTCCTCATATTAGTTGGCTTTAGCAAACCGACTTATAGCACATTTGTTATTAGGTTTTGAATTATACACTTTAAAATATCAAGAATATTTGAGTACTCTTGAAATATTAAAATATAAAACAATTTCGACAATTCGTTTAAATATAGGGTTACCTTTTTTGATGACTGTATTCGTCTTCGGCGGTCTCTTGATAATATAACTGCGTGGTCTGTTAGTATGCGACTTCTCCTTAATGTATACAAATGTAGTGTCATGTCTTTTTACTTGAAACGTGAGAATATATATCAGATTGGTGTCTTCCCTTTATCTAGAGTCACTGTTCTTTTTGACCAGAAATTGTGCTTTGCTTCTAATATTTCTCAATTAACAGGGTCAACGATGAGGACGCTTGGAATTTGTTATGCGTTCTGTTAGAGATTTTACTTCCACTCGTACGCTGAAATTAAACAGTAGGCTTGGTTAGATCCAAGCTTAAATATGCATCTATAGTATGGTCTCTATTCTCGGCTAATCACATTAACGCCCTCAAAGTCGTTCAGAGAAGTTTTCTTAAATACAGGGTGATTAAAAATTGGCGTCATTTCTTCTAAGGGGTGATAGAGGCTACCTTGGGGAGTACGACAGTTGAAGATCGAATTTCAACTTTGTTATTAAGGATTATTTTGAAATTGCTCCATGTTTAATTGGTAGCATATTGGAATACTTAAGCATTCAAAAAGAAAAATTACCATCTTTGCTTCAAATTACGAAAATTTTTGATATCAAAA